ATCATCCTACATCACCAGCACATCCTAACAATCTTCAACACCAAAATACAATTCAAATCAAGTTATTTTCAAATTTTGAGTAAAAGGCCATCAAAATATAGTGATCAGGTCATCAAGACCTTGCAAAATAGGATTATTCATGAAATTAAAATAGAAAAATACATCCTTAATAGTTAGGATTAAGATTTTTTGCTCCATGATAAGAAACATATGGTATACCCTAACTGTGATGACAAGAAAATTGAATAACACTTTTAAGTATGATCCCAACACAAGTAGTAATAACAAGTCAAATTTCACACTAACAATCAATCACAATTCAAATGGATTTATTATCCTTGAAAATAGAAAATAGGCAAATTGATGCAAACTTGAAAGGGCACAATGAGACACCTACACACCACAAGGAAATTTGAATAAGGAAATTTGAATCCCATGGAAAACCAAATCAAATTTATTGAAAACAAACCTTGATCCAGTGTTTATATCAAAACACCAACCAGAGATATAAGGAAGAATTTTTTATGGCACACTCAAGGACGATTAAGAATGTGAATAATAAGTTGGATTAGAATATCATAAGAATAGTCTTGATAAATTTTCTAAGTTTACAAACAAATTAAGAGAAAAATCTCTCAAATAATTTCAAAATTAATAACCATCCCTCAATTAGAGTTACAAACCTTTAAATAGCTAAATTAGTCAAATTAGAATAAGAAACTATCTATGCGTAAATCTTATTAAAAGAAGAATAGGATATGTGCCATCACTAAAAAAGATCTAAATGTGTGTTATCCCTAATAAGACATAAATTGAGCTTCAATTAAAAGAATGTTTAGCCCAAATAACTCAAAAAAAGGCACAAATAACTTAAAATGGCATAAAACATCAATTTGTGACCAATTGCAACAAAATTAAGCGATTTTCAACCCAAATTGTGCAATTCAATCCAAATGATCTTAAATAAGGTGTTCTTAGACTTGAATGGTGTTTACTAAACCTCGATGATCCTTCAAGCTTAGATTTACTTCTTGTGTGTTGCTTTCAGCCTAACTCCTCTCGATAAGTTCATTTACAACTTCTTGCATCTTCTTAGCTCTAGTCCTTGTTATTGGTCCTCCTTGAACATGCAATGAATCATGTTGTACTCATGTTATCATCTTGATTCCCATAAAAAGCATTTAGAATTTTGGATGTGTTAATAACCCCCACCCTCTAAAGAATGTTGGTCTATGTGTTTGATATGATAAATAATCTACGGAACAAGTAGAAGTACTTGGCATATATGCTAAACCTAACTCTAATAAAATTGCAGAAAGTGAACATCTCTCCAAGCACCGAATGTTACAAATTCACTTAATTTGTATGATCT